GTAAGACTCAGATGCTTGTCAAAAGGATAATCAAATTTATTGGTCATAAATCAAATGTCTACATAGAATACACAGATGAATATAAAAACCTTGAGTACAAGAAAATAGTTTAGGTTGGAAATGTGGTGAATGGACACATACCTTATGTAAAATAATGCAAATTAATTCTTTTGACAAAAATATATTTTACCATGCACTAAATATATAAACAGGTATATCCAGCTTTTTAATTGTTAATATTATTGTATCACGAAAAATGGGTAAGACAGAAGTGATTTAAGTAAGACTATGTAAGAAACAGAGTTATTTCCTTAGAGATGGAACAAAAGAAGAATGCATTCTTTTATGCCTAATTGTATACTTTTAAGGTCCTCACTTTTAATAATGGAAATAAGTTCAATGAGAATCTCTTGACTAGAGTGCTTCATTTTTTTCTGTTGATTGTATGCTAAATCCTAAGAACAGAGTTTCATATCAGAAAGCATGCATTTTTAAAAGATAAACAGTATAAGGGGAAGACAAACTTACTAGTATTAAGACACTAGTATATACCTGAAGTTCAAAAATAGAATTGAAGCTCAGAAATTGAAATTTTCATAGAAAAGATTCACATCTTGGTGATTTGTTCTCTCAGACTCAATTGCTTTTGGAGATAAATGGGAAGAAAACAATGCAATCTTCAGCGACTACCCATCAGAATCACATGGGAGGTTTTTAAACTTACATGCTGCTTACCTTTCTACACACACACACACACACACACACACACACACCCCACATACATACACTTTAATATTTCCCTCCTGAAATTTTGTTCTCCTAGGTCTGTAGTGGTATCTCTGTTTTCAGAATATACCCTAGTGAATTCTAATGTAAGTGGTTATAGACTATTATTTGTAAGACATTGTTTGAACCCGTATAATCCCTTCAGATGCTTAAATTCATCTGCTTCAAAAGAGTTTGGAAATAAAAAAATAAAGAAAAACTGAAGACCAAAGAAGGATAATTACCATAGCAATAATGATGTGTTCATGAAGAAAGAAGATGGAAAAAGATGATTGAGAATTTTTCACTGAAATTTAACAACTAATGCCATTTTAGGAGGAGCTATAATGTATACATATTTGGGGCTGGGGGAAGATTTTTAATTTATCTATTAAGTAAACAAACACATGTTTAGTGTTTACTCAGATTGACTGTTGAAGGATTTGGAATGTGTAAACTATATGGTGTTAGGGAAAATTGCAGTCTCAACACAAGGATAACAAGTAAGTTTCAACTCGTGCTAACACAATTTAATTGGCAGACATTGCCTGGAATACTATGTAGACAGATTGCCTAAGAATCTAGCTGGGCTCAGAAGTATACAGTAATTGATTAGTGATGTCTGACATGAAAACAGAGATGAATGTGGTTGCCCTCATTAGATAGGTTCTCTTTTCCTAAGATAGTCTATTATTTTTTAATGTCTGTCTTCTACCTCACAAGTGTATGCATTTTAAATTGTCTTGGCACCCAGAACAATCCTAGGCAATTATCATTGCTAAATAATTGGTGTATACCTGAATTGCTGTCTCCTGTTTAATTATTAATGGCAACCGGACAAATTCTACAAGCTCACATCTCCTTTGAGAGGCCACAGTTCCTTTTTCTCTATGTCTTAATAAATATATGGTTGAGGGTGCCCATTAAGTAGTAAATATTTACAAGTTGGAGAAGTTAGAATTGTTAAATGGCTAGTTGAATGTCATTGAGCATGGTAATTTGTGGAAGTATGGCTGAGGCGAATGTCCTTGTTACAGACTGTCTCTTAAAATAGTCAGTGATGACTGGGACTTGCCAACTGAATGCAGGGAGAAAGAGTAAATTCTAATTTTGAGTTGGCAGCTTCTCCTGAGAGTAAGAAATAAATTCAAGCCAGACCCACTATTGAGGACAAATCAGACCAGATACTTCAAAACAAAGACAAAGGACCTTCCTGGCATATAATATCATTTATCTGCTCCCTTACCTGACCAATAAAAGCATGGGAGCTTAGGATACCTGCAGTTTTCTGACACTTCAGGTTTGTATTTATTTCCCAATCCCCATGTTAACCATTTGGGTAACTTAGACTTGAGAGTATGTATGATTTTAAAAGAACAGTTAGGTTTTTTTTTTACTTGGGGAAAGCCAGATAAATATTATACCAATATAAAAAGATATTTCACCCTTGACTAGATTTTAATGTTGTGTTTTTCAGCTCTAGGGAAGTAACTGTTCGATTTATCCACATGTGCTCTCACATGCCGATTGACTTGTATTCAGCAATGTTGTCATAATGATATGTGTATGTTTGCAAACCTAATTAGGTTGTGTTCTACTGAATTACATGTTAAATGGAATTTGATAATCCTCTCCATGCTGTAGAAAGTGGTTTATCTCCTTAAAACTAGATTGCCTTTTTCCCTCATCTCTTTCTCTCATGTTTACATTGTTGTTTCAGGTTAGCAATAAAATTGAATTACTGAGAACCACCCTGATCAGATTTGCCAAAGGATAAAAAAAAAGTCATAATAAAGAAGGAAGTGTTTCAAGCAAGGAATGCCTAGTGCAGCTATATTTAATGTACTGTGATGGATGATCTCTACTAGTCCAGGCCAGGTGGTCTAGTGTTAAGCCCAGTTGTGGATGATGCAACTAGACTACCCAGTGTGGATTTTTTGTAACTAAAGATAAAAAAGATACATTCACTTACACTTATAGGAATAGAAAATTGTGAGAAGTAAGCCAGGAAAGGCACAGGTATGCAGGATTGTTACAGTCTATTTCCACCAGATGGTGGCTCTGCTCTGAAAGCCTCTCTCAAAATTAAGAGTTAATGGCTAAGGACTAGGTAAGCCACTTCATGTTCATTAGGAAATGTGCAGTACCTTTTATTAATTGAGGTCTATGGGCCAAAGACAGAGTCCAGGGACAACAGAAATTAGAGAATCTATGAGGTATCTCATTGGAAGCAAATAAATCCAAAGACTGTAGAATAATGTTCCCATTTCTAATAGATGCTAAAAAAAAAAAAAAAAGCCAAACAGCCAAGCAATTTGGATAGCCAAAAATTCTGACACTTTCAGTCAAAGTATGAGTGGACCAGGGAAAGCTATGAGGATCCACAAGCAAAGATTGTTTTAAGTGCATCAGTGATACAGCATCTGACAAATTGACGGTGACTAGAAGCTACCAAATACAGCAGCACTTGGTATGATTTCCATGCTGGACCTACGAATAGCCGAGGGGCCACCTACAGTCAGAGTGAAGAGGTGATGAGAATAAACGTCTTTGTGACTGAGAGTTCGTAATGGGAAGTTGAAGGTGGAAAGATTGGTAAATGAAGAATTAGTAGATATGAATTACATGACACTGGAAAGGCAGTTAACCTCTGAGGGTGTCTTCTTTTAGGAGTTATAATGCTTGTGCTGTACATTCAAGCATTGAAATCCACAAGGAATTGGTCCAGGACCCCTGTGGCTGTTAAAATCCACGAATGCTCAAGTGCCGATATAAAATAGTGTAGTATTCGTGTATAACCTATGCACATCCTCTGTATACTTTAAATCATCTCTAGGTTACTTATAATACCTAAGACAGTATAAATGCTATGTAAACAGTTATATTGTATCTCTTAGGGAATAATGGAAAGAAAAAAGATCTGAAATATTCAGTGCAGACATAACCATCTATTTTTTCCCAAATATTTTCGATCCATGGTTGTTTGGACCCACAGATATTGAACACCAGTTATCTTTCTTAGAATGACTAGTGAAAATTGAATTGGAAAATACAAATACATGATAAAATGCAATTTAAAGGTAATTTATTATCTTTTGTATTATTGTAGTTAAATAAAGGTCAAATTATAACTTAGTTTTAACTATTAGCAAATTATGACTTCCTTTGCTTGGACATTCCCCTAAAACACTTGAGAAATTCAGTGAGCTGCTTCTTCCAGCAACAACTTATATCTTTTTTTCTAAAACACTTGTTAGAAATATTTTGTTCTCTTCTTCTCCCACAGATCCATCAAGTGTTTGAAAAATATTAGGACTGGAGCCAACCACACAAATGTGAAAGGGAATTATAATCATTATTGTTATATGAATTTAAGACCTAAAACCTGCTATTGGTGTGTTCAGAATTTCTATTTCTTCCTGATTTAATCTAGGTTGTTTAATCTAGGAAGGTTGTGTATTTCCAGGAATTTATCCAGCTCCTCTAGATTTTCTAGTTTCTCTGCATAAAGGTGTGTATAGTAGCCTTGAATGAAATTTGAATTTCTGTGGTATTGGTTGTGATTTCTCCTGTTTCATTTCTAATTGAGCTTATTTGGATCTCCCTTCTTTTTTTGGTTACTCTTGCTAATGGTCTGTTAATTTTGTTTATCTTTTCAAAGGGCCAGCATTCTGTCTCATTTACCTTTTGTACTTTTTCTGTTTGAATTTTGTTTTGTTGTCCCCTGATCTTTGTTATTGATTTTCTTCGGCTGGGTTTGGGTTTGGTTTGTTTTTGCTTCTCTAGTTTTATGAGGTGTGACGTTAGATTGTCTATTTGTGCTCTTTTAGACTTTTTGATGTAGACATTTAATGCTGTAATAAACTTTCTCCTCAGACTGCTTTCACTGTATCCCAGAGGTTTTGTTAAGTTGTGTCACTATTCTCATTCAGTTCAAAAAATTAATTTCCATCTGATTTCATTGTTGACCCAAAGGTCATACAGGAGCAGATTATTTAATCTCCATGTATTTGTATAGTTTTGAGGGTTCCCTTTGGAATTAAATTTCCGGTTTTATTCCAGTGTGGTCTGAGAGGGTGCACATGATGTGAATTTTTAGGTTCCCCAGTGGGGTTGTGTGATTGGAGGAAGGTTTTCTCACTCTCACACTTTGGGATCTCACAGTTTTATATCTGTCTCATGGAATTTGCAGTGGCATGCCACTTCTTTCAAAGGTTCAGTGAACTTCAGTTTTCCTGATATGTTCCTGTGGTGGTTCTTGGAGCAAAAATTCACGATATGAGTCTCCATACACTGTTCTGTCTGTGCATGTGGGAGCTGCACGTCAGCCCTGTCTTCCATTCACAATCTTCCTACCCAACCACATTTTATCCTCACCAGAAAATTGTATGAGATTTGGTACCAGATTATAGCACTACAAATTTTAGCTTTAATTTAAATAGAAACTCTAAATTAATTATCCTCAATGGATCTTTCATTGAAAAATGCATTTCAATAAATATTTCTGGCATTTTATATTTTACTATGGTATCTTCACATATAATTACTTTTCTTAGGTTTCTACTACTAAAAAGTTGCTATTCTTTTTTGAAATCATGTCAAGTTACTTTCATTCTTTTGTTTTCTTTATAATAAATTTTAACCTACTCATGATTATAGAAATCTATCATGTCAAATGCAACAACTTAGTAATCAAAATATAACATAAGCTTTGCATGAGTCTCCTCTGATAGGAGAATTGACTTGTTACCTTTTCTGTCTCTAACAGCCATTTATGATTTTGTGATATTTGCAAATTAGTAGAATGATACATTATATTTAAAAAAAAAACAATTCTATAATCTGAATTTATCTCTTGGTTCAGATAATTTTATTTAAAAAGATATACACAGGCCTTTCATTGTTCAAACAATGAACACTAAAATGTTTTAAATTAGTCAACAGTAGAAGTATTTTTCACTAAGTAACATTTTCCTTTTCATGTGTGTGAATATATCACCTCATGTATTCCTGATAGAATAACGCAAATAGCCAGAATATACCTTAACACAGGAACAAGTTGGCTTCAGCGTCACAATGGAGGGAGTAAATTACGGTGAATCTAACATTTTATGCCTGTCTAGAAGCAACGGAGAATCATGTTTTCTCTCCTGGTTCTGTTTCAGATCTACTTAGGAAGCAAAGAACTCCTCGTGGATCCAATATATCCATTTGAGGTTTTGCCTGTGAAATAGATTACAGAATATCTTTCTCAGGGACCCAGCAATGTCTGTTTGTGAACTCCTGAAGAGTATTCTCTTTTTCTACATCTAAAAAATAAGTTGTGTTTGGCAGGAGGCAGCTTTGCTCTTTCTGATGATGCTTTATTCTGAATCATTTAAATGGGCCAGGAGTCCTTTTTATTTCCTCAGAGCCTGTATATTTGACAATCAAAAGTCAGGAAAATCTGTTTTATCCTCTGCTTCCTGTAGCAACATCCCACCGTTAAGGCAGGAAAAAAGACCTGCTCAGATGCCTGCATGTGAGGAAGGACAATGTGGGAAAAGGAAACTTTGTCATATCCAAGATATTTTCCTGTCACTGGGTGGTATCTCTCTATTAGCTGTCAAAGCAGCCTGTATATGTTCTATTGCAATGTTCATGTTTCATTTTAATTAATATTCTGGCTTGTTCATTATATATTTTAAGTTCTGTGAACACAGAGACTGTGTTTTTATTTTCACTCCTTAACGTGGTAAATTCTTAATAAATAACTGATAAATTAATACATAAATAAGCCAATCATACCACTATTGAAGTCTCTTAGTATAACTTACTACACAATCATTATAATATTTGGAGAAAACCCCACAATTTTGAATAAGATGGACTAATCCAACTTATAGTCATTCCCTTGTTTGCTGGCTCTGGTCCCTGTAGATATTTGGGTCTAGGGGTGATTTCTCCTAGTTCTACGTGACATTCAATGGAATGGAGTGAGAAGCCATATAGACCAATGTGGTTCCCACATCCATCAATACTCTATTATGTAGATGAGCAAATAGTCTTTGTTTTCAGGAGGGCTACAGAGAAGTTACAAGGAAGGATACATAGTAATAGAAATAGAATATTCACTCAAAGGATAGTTAGGAAACCCACCACATCAGAACTATTCCTACAGCTCCTGCTTTATAATTATGTGATGCATGTACCCCATGAAACACAGAAGATATACAAATTAATTTATAGGGTACATGCTAGAATGACAGCTATTTTGTACATTCCTAATTTCATAAAAATGCCAATATTAACTAACATTAAGTCCTGGTGAGGTGGCACATATCTGTAATACGTAATACTAGCATTTTAGGAGACTAAGGCAGGAGGATTGCCTAAGTCCAGATGTTGGAGACCAGCCTGGGCAACATAGCAAGAACCCATCTCTGAAAAAAAAAAAAATAGTAGGGCATTATGGTACATGACTGTAGTTCTGGCTACTCTGGACGCTGAGGCACGTGGATTATTTGAGCCTGGGAGGTTGAGGCTGCTTTAAACCATAATCACATCACTGTAGTCAGCCTAGGTGACAGAATGAGATTCCACCTCAAATAATAATAATAATAATAAACTAACATTTATTGTTTGCTTACTCTCTTTACGATATTCTGGGTACTTTGCTGAACATTTTATGTGCATGATCTCATTTAATCTTTCAAAAAATTTTATATAATAGGTTCTGTTGTTATCTCCATTTTACAAGAAAGAAACTGGGGATCAAGGAAGACAAATGACTTTGCCCGAAGTCATAGAGTTAGTACAGATTAATCCAGTACTCAAACCAATTATTTGATCTGAAAGCCCATGTACTCCATCACAAAGCCTGGCTGCCTCCATCATATTACTGAGGAGTAGGCAAATACCCAAATAACAGTAATTCAAGGTAATATATTGTACATGTCATCAATATAGAAGGGAAAGATGACACCTGCTTAGGGAAGTTCAATTTAGTGAAAGCAAATAAATCACCCCTGTTTTCCTCATCTTTTTCATGAATCTGGACTTCACATGTTTCTGAAAAATCTGAATTTTCAGTTTAGAAATGCACTTAATATTTCCTATGTCCTTTGGGTTATTGGCTGACATCTACATACCTAATTTCCTCCCTTCCTTTTTTCTTTGTCATTGCTTTTCCTACATAATTTATATGGATCTGAGTAAATCTGAAGGCTGGCTTTCAGCAAAACCCACCACTTAATTAGGGAAATAGAGGTAGAGAATAAACTAACCTAAGGTGCTGCATTGTAGGGATGCAGCCAGCTTCAGATGTGGCTTCAGTTGGCTGGATTCATCATTCTGAATGAGCCCTGAGTACTGGGAATTATAGTCTTTTTTCTCTCTGAACAGGAACTGAAGAAAAATCTGAGCCAGACATTGCCTCTTAATCAATCAGTATCAAGTAATATTGTAATCACTTTTTATTACTAGTCTTACAGTGAAAAACTCAGAGAGACTTTTGTATCTTAGTCACATCTGACATGTTTATCTCGAGTAGTTTTCAAGTCACAGGCCCCCAGACCCAGACAAAGATGTGCCAGGCCTCATCTCCTTAGAGAGTTTTGGTGGCTTTTCCCATGAAACTAAATGCATTAACTGGATCATCTTGATTTAGAGATCCTTAAAAAAAAATTCAATTTAGCATCTCCTAAAATCAGCATCAGCATCCTGGGAAGGTTTTGCAATTTTTGTGGAATTTCCCACGTGGAGCTCTACACATTTGTAAAGGCATTTGTAGCTCTGGTAATAGGCTACTTGCCAAAGTGTAAACGAAAAGATTATTTGCTCTAAATTCATTCCTGCAGTAGCTGTCAGGGAATGGCATAGTATTACAATGGGAAGTGCTTAAGGAAACTCTCCAGTCAGTAAAAAGGGGTGAAGAAGAGCAAAGTGCTGCAGTCAGATACAGTCCAGCTGCAGGACATTGGCGAAGGTACTTAATTTTTCTGACCCTTAGTTTTCCTATCCATAAAATGGCAGTAACTGTTCTTATGTTACAATGTTATTGCATTACATTAGATAATATTCCACACAATACCTGACGTATGGTAAACACTGAAAAAGTTTTCGCTAACTGCGTCAGTACTATCATCATCATCCTTGTCACTATCATTTAGACCAGGGATGAGCAAACTGTAGCAGACAGCTGAGTCTGCACCACAACCTGGTTTTATAAATTCAGTTGTATTGGGATACAGTCACACTCTGTTGTTTATATGTTGTGGATGGATGTTTTTTTCCTCCAATTGTGGAGTTGAATACTTGCTGCAGACAGAGACTTTTATAGAAAGAGTTTGCTCATCCTAATTAGTGGTTCTGAAGCTCCCGAAAAATAAAGGAAAAGACAAGAAGCAAACTCTGATTTCTGCCCTTATCCATATCATATATTAGAATTTTGTTTATGATTCTGTGGGAGGAAAAAGAAAAGTAGGACAAAAGCTGAGTAAATTAAGATAGTGAGTTTTTTTGTTTTTGTTTGTTTTTGATGTAGGAAAGTCAAACCCCTCTGAGCTGGTAGGGAGGAGTCAGGAAAAAGGGACAAGAACATGTCAGATAAGTAAGATTGCCCCAATTAAGACCCATTAACAGAAATTGTATGGAGTGTCTGTGGGACTATAGGTGGTTCTCATTGATGAAGTCTTGAGTATGGGTTTGGTAGCATAAATTTGGAAGATGACATCAGGCAGCTTGGTGACAGCCAGAGTGTTATCTTGAGGAGCTCGGACTTTGTCTTCTAGGAAATCAGAAATTTTGAAGAGTAGAAGATAAAAGTGAAATTCTAAGTTTTTGTTTTGATTTGGATCACTATGAAAGGGAATATGCTGAAACAAATGGCAGATCATGAAATACAGGCAAGGAGAACAGCTGGGAAGCGGGACCAGTGGTGCATATCATGGGTATTTTTCTAATTGTCACATGCAAATTAGTCAAGTGTTGCCAGGATTGGGAACTTCGGAAAATTCAGGCTGGCTAGAAAGTCAATACAATTTTTCCTTCTGAATTTTGAATTAAATAGTTTTAATTTATGCAAATTTAAATCAAGGTAGTTACCATGTCTTATGAAGAATGGATTAAATAAATAGGACAGGCTCTTTTACAGCGACAGTGGGAGTACTCCCGTATAATTCCATGAATGCTCGGTCCATGGTAAGAGTAGTAATAACTATTATTATTTATTTATTGAATGATAAATTGTAGCCAGTAACTTTACAGGCATTAGCTCTTATAATGCAACAGCTTTCGAGGTACACACTGTTATCATTTCTGTTGTACAGGTAAGGACAGATATTGGAGTAATATGCCCAAAGTTACATGGGCAGTAAATGGCAGAGCTGAGATTCAGCTGTAAATCTTGTCTGTCCCATCTGTAGAATGCATGATTCATGAATGCGGAATACTTTATTTTCTTCTGTTCTTGAAGGAATGAATGGCATGCAGTGGACCCTGAATAAATATTTGTTATATAAAGAATGAAAATTTTAATGAATAATTTGAAATTTTATGTTTATGACCACTATGATGTAGCACCTGCTCAGCACTATAAAATTTTAGCAGTGCTTATCAATTACTCAAAATAGAACCAGATATTTATTTTCCCAATGCCTGTAATTATGTCGAATGCCATCCAGTTCATCTAAAATATAGTTCTTGAGTGACTTTTTCTCTATTAATGCAATATATTTATATTATATTTTATAAGTAACCAAGAATTTTACTGTGCATAATTTAACTTAATCTTCATGACAACTTTATAAGGAATTTGTTCATTTTTACAGATGAAGAATCTGATATTTAGTGAGGTTACCTGCCCAAAGTTACACGATAAAAAATTAAGATATTCTGAATTCAAGTTTATGTACTTTCCATTGTATCCAAACTGCTACTCTTATATAACAAAAACTTGGAGCTGGAATGGATGCCAAAGAAAAAAAAAGAATAGTTTTTCACTTTTATCGAATTATTATGTGTATGTATACTAAAAGGATAAATACACACATATATGAATATATATAAAGCAATGCACAAATCATAATTTTCACATTCCCATGTAACCAGCACCCAGATCAGGAAGAATAATATTATTAGTGCCACAGCATCTCCCATGCTTCATTCAAACCGCTAACCTCTCCCTGGAGGATACAGTACTGTGGCTTTTTTTTTCTTTTTTTTTTTGAGACAGAGTCTCGTTCCTTCACCAGGTGCCAGGCTGGAGTGCAGTGACATGATCTCAGCTTACTGCAGCCTCCGCCTCCCAGGTTCAAGCAATTCTCCTGCCTCAGCCTCCTGAGTAGCTGGGACTACAGGCGTGCGCCACCACGCCCAGCTAATTTTTTGTATTTTTAGTAGAAATGGGGTTTCACCATGTTGGTCAGGATGGTCTCAATCTCTTGACCTCGTGATCCACCTGCCTCGGCCTCCCAAAGTGCTGGGATTATAGGCGTTAGCTACCTCGCCCAGCCCAGTACCCTGACTTCTAATAAAATGGATTGGCTTTGCCTGGTTTGCACCTTGTATAAATGCAAGCAGACAGTGTGTATTCTTTTGCATCTTAGTATTTTTACTCAATAATATGTGAGAAGTTCATTACTATTGGGTGTAGTTATGGTTTATTTTCGTGACTTTAGCATATTTAATTGTTGAATATATCATCATTATGTTTTACAAGTCTATTATACTGTTGAATACCACTTGGGCAGTTTTTGTGTTGAAATTTAAAACAATTTAACCTTCAAATAATGCTACTCTGAAGATTCTTGTACAGTGTCTTCAGGTAAGCATACATGGGCATTTCGGTTGCATGTATAATTAGCCATGGAATTGCTGGGCTTTGCTACAGAAATGTGTACAGTTATTCATATTTTTTACATTTATAGTTTTCTGTATTCTTATTGATTAGTTTACGCTTAAGTACAGTAGAATTAGGGATGATGAACAACATGTTTGGGGGAAACAGAAGATGATCAAATGTTAGAAACTCTGAGAGGTGATCAGGTTACCCCATTTACTACTTCCGGTTTATTGGACACTCAGAATAGGCAGATACCTGCCTCCCAAAGACCACCTAATTGATTTTACTTTCTTCTCCCACACATAGATTAGCTGCAGTTTTGTACTGGGAGTGTTGAAAGGCTGTTGCTCTACAGAGTTACAGCATATTTAAAGGACTCATATACGTGGCCATCCAGGATCTTGATATTAATTGCAAAATTTCTTGCCTTTATGTTAGTAAAACATAAAGGAAAGAGATTGCAGAGAAATACGAAACATTTACTTGCCCTTTCCCCATTATGGATTAATATTCTCCTTTGTACAAATAGATATTTTCATAATGACTTTGTATGTCTGACTTCTCAATTGTGTTACATATTAGAATAGGTCCTTCAAGGGCATGCAATCTTAGCTGAAGGCTAGTCTTAGGACTACTTGAAAATGTATATAGACTGGGAAATAGATAATTTCTGTCAGCATTTTATACATAAACCTTTAGAAAATTTAGAATTTTTAAAGTAGCCAGGGGTTATCCAGGGTCTGGTCCTGGCTACTTCGCAAATCTAAAATGGGAGACACTTGTACAACAGTAAGTTTACAAATTTGCCCCAGTCTTTAATATGAGGGAGATTTAAATGTCAAGAACCAGGAGAAATTTGTATAAAACATTGAAATGCTGCTTGATATTTATAAAACTTGGTGAACATTTTTCTATCTGAGCCAGGTATGGGCAAAGGCCCTATCTCACTCCAATATTGTGAATATCCTATATAATTATCTAATAGTTTTCCGTAACAGTTTTTTTTTCTTTCAAAGGACTGGGTCTCACCATGTTGCAGAAGCTGGTTTCAAACTCCTGAGGCTCAAATGAGTCCCCCACCTTGGTCTCCCAAAGAGCTGGGATTATAGGTAGAGCTACCATACCTGGTCAACATTTTTAAAAGAGGTAGAGAAACTGGTAACTATCTCGTTTGAAGATGGTGGAATGAAGCACCGCTATCTTTTCTCTCTTTCTATTATATAAACTTTTGCAGCCATGGCTAGTAAGCCAGACTCCTTTCAAAAGGAGAAAGGGATGGAAAAAAATCAAATTGTTATCTGAGCTCTACAGTAAGTCAGTGATTTTATAAGAAAGTATTTTACTTGATTGGAAGAGTAATTGGGAACATTAACAACTATGTGTAAGATATGATCTCAGGTTAGATACCGGTTTAGATAAATATGTTATAAAGGATATCTGGTGTCAGAAAGAGGAAATAGAAAGCAATCTAGATAAACAAGACAGTGTGTACAATATGGCCTCACTTTAATAAAAAACAACTGTGCACGTGAGTAAATGTGTGTGTACCTGAGCATGCTAGAACAGAGAAAATCTAGTAATATATGAGCTGAAGATATTATCAGTTGAGATCTGCATTGGTAGAGATGTAAAGTTTTTATCATTATTATTATTATTTTTAACAATGTCACTTGTCTTTATTTTCAGCATTTCTACCATGTGCAAATATTGATGGTATGCTAATTAAAATGATTATTTTAAATATAAATAAATACGTAAGGATATATTAGATTAAGGTATTCAGCACCACAAAGTATTTGATGGTTGATTAATGCAAATGGACTAATAATAACAGTGGCAATTAAAACAATATTAATTAGCATTGATGAAATATGCCAAACACTGTGATAAGTTTTGTAGAAACATCATGTCAGTTGATCCTCATTAAATCCCTATGAAGCAGGTACTATTATTATTTATAGTTTATAGATGAGGAAACTTAAGATCTCAGAGGTTTACCAACTTGCCTAGTGACACAGCTAGCAAGTAATGGGACGTAAGACTAAGTCTAGATCTTTCTGAAGGCAAATAACTTTTACTTAATTACTGTATACACTGCCTTTTATTATGCTATTACCAACATCATCATTACCTCATTAGCAACTCCATGACGGTTTCTCTATTCTAGTAGGTACAAAGATCATTTCACAAATTGTCACTGTCTGTTACATTAAAAAAAAAACTGCTAAGTTCTTGAATACAGCAAATTGGAAAGTTGGAATAAAAATGTTTTAAGAAGTGGCTGTCCCTACATTCAAAGAGTTCATAATGTAGAAAGATCATTATTCTGTAGGAAAGTAATTTGAATTTATTTATTTTTAAGAAGTCAATTTTAGTGCAGAGTAAAAACAAAAATAAAATAAAAACATTTTTCTGTAGCCTATGACTACCCTAATAAACTAAGGTAGAATATGTAACACTATTTTATATAGATCTTTATCTAAATACTAGTAGATACTTACTGAATAGTAAATGTGCAGATAGAAATTTATTAATGTTTTTATTTGATAAGAAAATATTACTAAATTTTAATTAAATACTTTCATAAATGTGCCTTAGATACACTTAAGAAAATTTCAGATATTCCCTTCTGGTTGAAAAGAATTATTCCAAGAGACACATTTTGCAGAATCACATATGTTTGATGTGTGTGCCGAATTGCAATTAAAAGTTCACTGGAATTTATATTGCAATTAAATGTCATTGAACAAAATAAAAGTATACAAAAAATCAGCAGAGTAAATAGCTCAGGAAACAAATGATTTGGATTGGATTTTTTTTTTTAATGACACTAAAATGTCAGACTTTTCCAGAGACATAAGGGCTTTACTGATGTGATTGAAATTTTTAGTATAAGGACAATTATGAAATAATAGAAAAGAAAATGATTTCAAGAATGGACAAAACTAATCAGTTGGTATGAGGACTGCCTCGACTGGTGACTTTAGGTTGGCAAAACAAAAATCAAGAAAAAAAGCAAAAAGTTCTGGAACCCCTTAGAACTACTTTGAACCATTCGTGTTTGGGCTTTAGTAATTTTTATTGATTGCATGGAGATAGGGAAAAGTTTACATTTAGGATGCAACTTATTAAATTATATTCATACTTTAATTTCTTCCCACTGCCACTTCAAAGAAAACAGTACATTTTTTGCTCTTTTATCCCTAAATATTTCAGTTTGTATTTCATAAAAATAAGAAACTCTGTTATGTAACCACAGTATAATTATGAAAATCAAGAAAACTGATACTCAAACAATATTATTATATAATTTATATACCTTATTGATATTTTGTCAGTTGGCACAATAATTTCCTTTACAGCAAAAGGAAATTGAAATTCTGCATTGCATTTAATTCAGATTCATGTATTCTAGTCTCCTTTTAATCTTTGTATTTCTCTATAGTTCTAGGTTTTACTCTGTAGTTCATGACATTGACATTTTTGAAGAGTGTAAGTCAATAATTTAGTAAAGTGTCTCTCAATGGATTCTTTCATGTTTCCTCATGAATAGATTTAAGTTAAGTACTTTAGGCAGTTGCAGGCAGAAGGCAATACTGAGTTGTCCTCAGTGCATGATATCAGGAGGCGCATACTGCTGATTAACCCCACAACTAGCCATGCAACTTTTGTTTTTAATTTGATAAATAATATTGCATGTATTTATCATGTACAACATGTTGGTTTTAGGTACATGTACATCATAAAGTGCTTAACTCTAGGTAATTAGCAAACACATTATCTCATACAGTTACTATTTTTGTGGTGAGAGTACTCAACATCTACTCTCTTTGCATTTCTTGAGAATATAATATATTAACTATAGTCGCCCTGTGATACAAATAAATCTCTTAAATTTATTCTTTCTGCCTAACTACCATTGTGTGTCCTTTGGCCATTTCCTCATCTTCCTTCCACACTCTGTTTACTGGTAACTATTATTCTCTACTTCTATATGATCAACTTTTAAAATTTCCCCATGAGTGAGGTCATGCTGTATTTGTTTTTCTGTGCCTGGTTTATATTATTTAACAAAATGTTCTCCACGTTCATTCATGTGGTGACAAATTACGGAATTTTCTTGC